ACAGCACAACGGTGGATTTGTGGTGAACTTCCAGGTTTCGGAGAAGACCCCTTCGTAACCCGATTGGAAGGAGATATGAAGAGTTTTTGACTCCCCACGAGCGATTCCACCTAGTGGGGGGAAAATGAGAGCAGTCGCACTTTTTTCCACCTTATTTATACTAATGCTTTGAAAGGCGATTTGACAAGTTGGAGCGCCATCTGAGGCTCCACTCATTTGTCTGCCGTCACATTTCGCCCAACTTGCGTCTTGCATGCCTCGTCTGCACCGAGGATGCGTGTGCTACGCCATTTGCATATCTCGAATGACATTCTTAGCGATGTTTTCTGCCACGAATTAGTAATTCACTGGAATACGTTCGAGTCTTAATTAGTTCTGCGTGAACTTATGGCAGGACGACTTGTTCGCCCATTAAATCTTTCTAAGACACTAAAATAAATAGTGGAGTTCGAAAAAATAAGACATTTTCGGGTCTATACAGGGTGACAAAGTAGGAGAATGGTGGGATTGTCACGAGTGCAAACAAATTCGCTGCTCCAAACACATTTTTTGTGACTTTGGGAAATACGGTGTGCTCTTCGGGGAGCTGGCAGTGATAGAGGCGCATAACACACCTATTAAACAATCTTTTGTGTTTTGCCTGTCGAGAATTAAGCCTTCGCATTTAAATTGCAGTTCTCTACAGAGTGATGCAACTTAGTGAGGCTACTTCGGTACTTTGTTTTTGTCACTGCATGGTGTTTGGCGGATGTTTTGGTGTCCGTGTTGCCCTTGTACATGTGACCAAGTCGAGGCGCCGTTCCATCGCCTTCTCTTACCGGAGGAGGGGAAGTCTCGGGCCTCCACGGCTTCCCCCTACTGATTTGACGTCAATAATTTTCTACAGGTAACTATGGCAACGGGAAGTCAAACCGCAGACGACTGTTTACGATTTTGTTTATAGGAAGTAACTTCGAAGGGCACGACAAGTAATAATGGCATTAAAAACACATGTTGAGCTTACCGTTGTTGGAAAAAAAGAAGAATGGTGAATCCCTTGGAGGCAAAATTTCTGTGAAGAAGGTCCTTTCAACTTTCTAGATTTATTATGATTTAACGCAATGCCAGTAACCTTCCATTGATAGATGAGATCTTCTGTGCCGTTGTTCTTCAGCACGACTTTTCGATGGCGTGGATTAGCGTTGGTGCTCTAAACGACAATACATCGAAACAAACAGCAAACAGCAAAATTAAACAAATTAATGCCGTGGAAATCTGCTAGGACTGTACTTACGTACCCTGAAACAAAGCATGAACTGTGGATCAGTGTCGATTCTGTAAGTGTTTGGCTTATCTCGAACCAGACGAGGAATCAAGACCCCATTGAAGAGGAGGGATGGTCCACCGAACTCCTCCTCCACTTCCTGGTCATTTAGCTCACACGAAGTAACGGAACTTTGGGCAATTGTGTCATCCACTTCAGACGCTTCCCTCCCAAACTTCACAACTTCGACCATCGGTGTTGTTGTGGCGCCGTTTTGTGACGTTTTTAGTGATCTTTCAATCCACAAACAGAAGATAAGTTAGACAATGTTGTCGCAAGGGATGCACACCTTTCTCTGGTTTTTCTAATTCAAGAAATCCAAATGAACGAGTCATTTTGAACCGCGTTTTTTCGATAAAACAAAGCCTGATCTTCAACCACATCCACATCTTACTGCCTCCATATGCATGTAGGCATTGAATGCCTGCAGAGAGTCATCCACTCGCATCCCCATTTGCTATGCAGATGGCATTAATGACCGT